CTTTATACTATATAAAACATGCAAGAATAAATACATAACTACACCACTGTGAAATTATTTGTGAGGTTCAGTTTTGACCCCCACCACCACCACCACCACCACCACCACCACCACCATTAGTTAGAAACCACTAACCACTTACATGCAAACCAGGTCAGCGCGAGGTAGTGATAGCGGTAATGGAAGTCAAAAGTGAGTGCAGCCATTTTACACCAGACTTTAGTCCTAACAACACGTATTTTACAATATAGACATGCAAGAATAAACACTACACTATCAAAATTATTGGCGAGTATTTAACACCAGACCACCTACGAACAGCAGGTGATATTGCTCGAGCGACATTTCAAGCAAATAGTTTTCCATGTCCTTGGACGCTCAAGTCCGTGTTTAGTTTATTAAGATAATGAGTATATAGTTGAGATTTGAATATAGCGCAAGAGTTCAATGACTTGATATGACTAGGCAGATTATTCCATAGAGTAGTATTCTGTTAAAGTAGGATGATCTGAAGGTTGAGGATTTACAAAGGTTAGGTCGGCGTAGGTCGGATGAACTGAAACGAGTAGTGTGAAGGGAAGGTTGAGTGGAATATTGCTCTATATCTACTTCGTAGCCACCAGATTTGCATTTATGGTAAAATGTTAGATCTTTAGTTTCAAACCAGTAGGAGATTGGCAGTAAATTTAAACTTTTCAATCTGGAAGAGTACGAGGAATGGTAGTCTGCGTGATGAACTTTGTTGCCCGTCTTTGAATGCCTTCTATTAGAACGAGGTCTCGCGATGATCCTTGGGGTGACCAAATCTCACTGCCGTAAGACAGGTGAGATCTTACTAATGTCAGATATAGCAGGCGACAGCAGTGGATGTTGGTGAGGTGCGTACAATGGCGTCTTGAGAATCCCAGCATTCGATTGGCTTTAGCAACTACATGGGCAATCTGCTTTGACCACTTTAAGTTATCACTGATGAATATCCCGAGGTCTTTTTGGATATTTATACTCTTTATTTCTTCATTAGCAAGGTGGTAATTGGCTGGCATAATATTTTTCTTCCTTGTAAACCGCATTCATTAAACGTGCACATAAGAATGGTTATACATCAAAACGAACACACATTAAAGAAATACGTGATAAGAGAGATAAAAAACTGTGGAACAAAATAACATCAACTGAGGACGTACAATGCATTGCTTGAACTGCTGCAGGAAAAAAAGAAGTAGGTTACTTAGGCCTAGAGGGCATGAGTATGAACTCCCCTAGTGAGAACAGAAAGATTCAAAAGATCGTTCATAAATCGTTGTCTGTTTAACTTTGTTTAGACTTTAATGTATTTAAAACTTTTTAAAACTTTTTACGCTTCTTAACTTACATTGTAAATATAACTATCTAGATCAATTACCTTTCGATTGTAAACTCAGACGGATGTATCTGAGTATTTTAATAAAGACTATTATTATTATTATTATTATTATTATTATTATTATTATTATTATTATTATTATTATTATTATTATTATTGTTATTATTATTATTATTATTATTATTATGCCAATGGTCCAATATGATTATCAGAGTCGATAAATGTAGTACCTTTGGCATCAAGAAAGCCATCACAAAATCAGTCCAATATTTGCCGAAATTCATCATCAACAATAATCTGATACCAACAGTAAAGATTGGAGAAGCATTTCAATATTTAGGACGTTACTTTGATTTTAACAAGTCGAACGATAACCATAAGACTGAACTAACCACTCTCGTTAATGAACTAATGACTGATATTGACTCGAAGCCACTCCACCCAAGAAATAAGCTTCCCGTATACAGTCGTTATGTCTTATCCAAAATATCGTGGCATTTCACCATCGCAACACTTTCTAAAACATGGGTTATCGATAATATTGATCCCGTAGTCAACCAGTACATCCGTAAATGGCTTGAAATTCCAATCTCAGGAACACTAAGTACTGTTTTTCTAACTCGAAACAAATTTGGTCAAAGTATTTATCCTCCATCGGTGAAATTTATCCAATGCCAAACAGTTCTTCGAAAAGCTTTAAAACTTTCCCCAAATCAATCAATCAACGAACTGGGGAAAT